CACACACGCACACCCACACCCATGCACAGGCTGACACACACACCAGGGCTGGGGTCTCTGCACATTGCTGGGTGAGGGCTGTGCACAGACTGCCCCCCAACCCAGTGTTCCAGCAGCTTTCTGGGATACTCCCTTTCTCAGAGCCAAGCATGTTTTTAGCAGGTTGGGCATCAGGGAGCCCAGGCATCTGAGGCACTCAGAACTGTTCCACCATGCATCCATGTCCTGGGTGTGGGGAGCGCCTCGGGACCAAAAGCCTGTGCCCCAAGGAGGGCTTTGGGGTGCCAGAGCAGGATAGAAGGCAAGGAGGAGGAGAGGAGGAAGAGAGGAGGAGGAAGCAATGTGCTGGGTGCAGGGAGCACCTTGAGATGGGTAGCCCACACCCCAGGAGGGTTCAGAGCCATATGGAAAAGGAGGAGGCTGGGAAAGGGTGCTGGAGGAGGAGGAGGAGGAGGCTGGGTGGGGCTCCCGCTGTCCCGGAGCCGGATACTGGCACGGATATGCTGGCGTGGCAAGGCTGGAGGAGGAGGACACATACACCTGTGAGCATCAAGCCAGGTCCCTACCACCTGTGGAATGCTACCCCAGGCCTCCTTTCCCTGCACAATCACCTGCACAACCACCTCCTGCCCAGCCCCTCTGTGCCAGTGCCCCCAAGCCTGACACAGCCGTGGCTGCCCCATGTGTTGGCAAAATCCCGTCCTGCCCCAGATGACCCCTATGTTCTTCCTCCTTCCCAGGTCCACAGCAGGCAGGGACCCCTTCTCTCTTCCAGAGGGGTGCAGAGAAAGGGGACCTTGAGTTGGCAGACTTTGTAGCAACCAATTTCCCTGGCATTGATCCTGGGAGGAGATCCCAGGGTACAACCCCAATGGATGCCTCTTCCCAGGGCACAACCCTCTTGGTGCCTTCTCCCACATCCAGGGCTCTCTTTACCCAGCAAGTTCCCATTTTCCCAGCCAGAGCACCACAGCAGTGGAACTGTGCATGGATGAGAGGTGGGTGCAGAGAGCTCAGCCCAGGGTGGAGCTGGCCATGAGCCCAAAACTGCCTGGGGAAGGGGAAACCTTCCAAGTTGCCACCATGGTCCTCCCAGCATGGCAGCCCCTGAGGAGCAGAGCAGAGGCAGGAGCACTCTTTTTTTGACAAATGCCTTTATTTGCTACCGGATAGAGGTCTATTGCACAGCAGCCTGGAGGCTGCAGGGCACACAGCCCTGCCCCAGTTCAGTGCTGGACGCGGCGGATGGATTGGATCTGGTTGGTGTGGGCCTGGCTGCTGTATTCATTGTACTTCTTGAACTCGCCGTTCTGTCTGTCCCGCTCCAGCACATACTGGTAGCCCCTGTATCCCGGGTACTGGTATGCCACCCACCTGCAGGCAGAGTCTTGGCTCAGAGCCCCAAGCCACATCATCCCATTCCATCCCATCCCATCCCATCCCATCCCATCCCATCCCATCCCATCCCATCCCATCCCATTCCATCCCATCCCTCTGCTTGCCCTGGGAGGAGAGAGACAGAAAATACCCAATGGCTTGTATTTTCAAGGAAAAAGTAGCAGGAATGCATTCCTTTTTTGAGGGGGCCCCCCTTCCACATTGTGGGGTTTATGGAGGTGTTTTATCCAAGGAGGTGCTTCTGAGCCTCTGCTCTTGGCACCCCCAGTCCCTGCCCCGCTGGCTGCACTCACGCTCCGGCGTTCACTTTGATGGATGCCACCTCCTTGTTGCCCCAGCCCATGGCCTGCAGCGAGGGATAGTCGTCACTCAGCTCAAACTTGTGACCCTGGAAGTTCTCAGCCTCGTAGAGGATGACTTTGCTGTCATTGTGGTTCTGCAGAGAGACAGAGCTGGAGGTCAACAGGAACGGGTTGGCTTGCCCAGGGGTAGGGATGTGGCATCAGTGTGACACACACCAAGGCACTTCGAGAGGCCTGGGATTGTGAGCAGCTTTGGTGCAATGCATGGGGATGTCCTTACACCTGGCATCCCCTCACTGGGACACCCCAGAACTGCCCTAAGGATGCTGCTCTCATGTCCCTGTGGTCCCAGTGCACAGCTGTCAGTGAGAGTTAGTGGCTACAACCTCTGGACCCACACAGTCTGCTGCCCTCGGCACCACCACACTCCCCAAGGCTGCAGGAGGGCTCAGGGCAAGGTAGGATGCTGAGAGAGGTCCCCTCAGCTCTGTGGGGCCTTTCTGGGTGCTGGGCACGGTGGGGTTAATGGCTGGGACACTGAGTGATGCAGCACTGTCCCCCGTGCCCAGCCCCCACATGCATCTATCTGCACCGAGGAGCAGTCCTGCCAGCAAGGAGTGATCTTATCGCATCCCCTTTATTAAAGCCTGAACATATCTGCCTGGTGATTATTAAAAGTTGGGGGGGGACCCCCCGCTCGGAGGCGCAGACGTGCCGCTGCTGCGAGCAGCGGTGTCTCTGCAGATGGAGCGATAGGGCCGTGGCTGCCTGGGCACGCCCCGGCTGCCCGCGCTGCGAGGGGACGGGCCGCGCTCCGAGCATCCCTGCGGTCCCAGCAGCTCCTCCCTGCTCATCCCAGCCCCGGGAATCAGGGCTGCGGGACAAGGCCTTGGGACCCCAGCCTGGCAGGTGACTCTCCAAAGCACAAAGCAGAAGGAGCCGGAATTTTTGTTCAGGCTAAATTTTAGACCTAGAAAGCATCCCAGGATCTTTGCAGGGAGATGGGAGCTGGTGCGTGCAGCTACTCTTCCACTTCACATGTACCTCTGTGTACACCTCACCCCTCCATCCCATGGCCCATGTAAGTCATCCTCCAGCCTGTCCCTCATTGCCTCCATGCTGGGTTACCTGGAGGAGGCTCTGCCGCCCTTAGCCCTCCCCCTGTGGTGTCCCAATAACTCACTGCGCATTTGACAGGCCGGAAGGAGAGGAGGTGCTCGGTCCGGTAGCCACTGTTCCCGCTCCAGGCCTCCCACCGGGGATAGTCACCCTTCTCCAGGATAAACTGCTGTCCCTGGTACTCAGGGTACTCGAAGCCTACCCAGCTGGAAGGAGGAAGAGGAAAGCCCTCAGAGATGTGTGACACAGTCCCCAGGATCAGTCAGGGGTCAGCTTCTCCTTCCTGGGCAGGGGACAGAGCCTTCCTGGCAGGTTATGGGTCTGTCACAGATGTTGGGGTCCTTGCTAGCAGCAAATGTCCCTTTTCAAAGTGAGACCCCTCTCCCCAGAGCCACATCGTTGCCTCCATTCTACGCCTTGCCTTGGTAAGGTCTCCCTGACTAGCAGATGGGAAAACACAAGGAGCACAAGCAGGGAGGTCGCACCATGAGGCTGTGTCATAGCTGAGGAAGAACTTGGGAGTTCTGGCTCCCTAGCAGCTCCCCATTTTCCCTGGGAGCAGTGGGTTTGCTGGAGCGGGGCGTGCCAAGGGGCCGCGGGGCCGGCGGGGCACTTACGGGCCAGACTCCACCTTGATGGAGCGGATCTTGCGGAAGCCGCGCTCCATGATGCTGGGGCACTCCATGAGGAACTCGCAGCGCTTGCCCTGGAAGTTCTCCTCCTCCCACACCGTGATCTTGTACTGCCCCAGGGTGTCCATGGCTTCACTGCTGGTCATACGGGTCTCTCGGCTGCTGGCAGAGCCCCACGGATCACCCCAGGGCCGGTGCCCCCCACCAGCCCCCAGCCACCCTCCTACCTGCTGCTGAGCCTGGCATACCGGTGGAGCTGCCCTCACACACCCCATGCCACTGGCCCCTTTCCCTCCCAGGCTGGCAGGGGGACATTTCCCATTCCCTTTCCTTCCCTGCTGGGGGAATCTCTGTCCAGTGAGCCCCAGGTTGCTGGGGGAATTTGCAGTGCCCCATCTCTCCATGTGATGTACCCAGGACTGCCTCAGTTTTTCCTCTCCCAAGCTCCCTGCCGTGGCTCCGGGAGCTGTCTGGGTGCGGTGGCACTGTACCCACTGCTGGGAGGCGGCGGTGACCGCAGCTCAGATGCGGCTGTAGCCCCGGGGCAGAGCAGCCTGGCTCCTCCATCCCTCCTGCCGGGGTCCCTCCTGCCCCTGTGGCACACAGCGCCCCGCCGCTTGCCCTTCCCCAGGGTGAGCCTTGGCTGGCTGGGGGCTTGCTGTGGGGCAGCGCCTGTGCACGGGGGTCTGGGGCTCACAGTCTGGTACTTACTTGGTCGGAGGGCAGGGCACAGAGGCGGAGGTGGCGGTGCCGGCGCCGGCTTCTCCTGTGGCCCTTTATAGCGGGCGCTGGAGCGCCGCTGGAGCGGCGTCCAGGGCGCTGTGTCAGCAGCCAGGGGACGGGGCACGGCTGCTCGGCCAGCCCAGACTCCGGCTGTCCATTCCACTTAGGCAGTGTGGCGAGAGCGGCCCCCCCGCGCCCGGCCGGGCTGACAATGAAAGTGCTGGGCTGTGTTTGCGCAGGGGCTCAGGGCACAATGGGCAAAGGGCCTGACGCGCCGCTTTCCTTTCTGCCCCCGCACAATGTCCCCGCTTGGCCCAGGGATTAGGGAGCCAGCCTTTCCCAGGGCACCCGCAGCCTCTGCCAGGGGTGAGGCTGGTGGGAAGGAGGTGCCAGGGTGAAGTGGGGATTTACCTTCTGCGAGCTGAGGGGCACTCATGTCCTCACGCTGGAACACAGGGCTTATCTGGGGCTGCTTCTGCCCCTCCACGTGGGACTGTGCAACCATGGGCTCCTTTTCCAGCCAGGCCCTGCAGGGATTCCTGAGCTGGCTGCAGAATGGGGGCTGATGGACCCCAGTTACATGCTTGTAATGCCCTAAGCATTTCCCCTGGCTTGAGAAAGAGCTCCCTGTGCTCCCACTCCCCTCCCACAGGGGCAAGGGACACTGTGCACAGCAGGAGGGGACCAGCTTCGGGACAGAGCTGTGTCCTTCACCTGGGCAGCACCAGCCCTGCCTGGAACTGCACCAACCATGCAGCTATCCCCAGTGGCTCCTACCAGGACCTGGGATGGACGAGGCCAGCACAGGCTGGAAAGGAGGAAGAGGGCCCTGTTGAGCTGTGAAATCCTGGGTGTCTAGGCAGCTGTTTCTTGCAGCATCCCTGTGTAGTCTGTGTGAGGCCGAGCACTCCCCACCTTCAGCTGGGCAGATGCCACGCTGGCCACTGGGCAAGGGCTGGACCACAGCACCACAAACCTTTCCAGGAAAACTCCAGCGCTTCTGGGGGTCCTGGGCATGGGGTCAGCATCACAAGAGACCATTGTTGGTTATGGAGAATGCAGTGTGAGCAGCTGGGGGTGGGGTTAGTACGCCTGGCATCAAAAAGAATCGGGGACTGAGGGGTGACTCGGGGGTCCCCTTCGTGACCTCCCCACTGCTCGGTGGCCCCGAGGCTCGGTGCGAATCCGCGCCGATGCCTGCGGGTCCCAGCAGAGGGTGCAGCCTGGCAGCGCTTGGAGCGCGCTCAGCTCAGGGACATCAGTGGCCCTTGGCAGGGGACAGGGGCTGGAGAGCCGACCCTCAGCTTGTGTTGCCTGAAGTGCTCCTGGCAGGGAGGGGGAGATGCTCTTGGAGCTATCTGAAGAAGCAGAAGGTGGAGGGAAGGATAGGGATGCTCCCTGGAGAAGGAAGAGCACTCTGGTGCAGCCTGGTGGCCTGGGGACATCTCTCAAACTGCTGGAAGACAGGTCTGAGCAGCATTTAGGGAAGCCATCACCTTGGCAAAGGTGAGGCAAGATGCAGAGCTAGTGCACTGTAGGGTCTCCCCACAGTGCTGCCATGCCTTGCCTGGGCTGTGAGAACAGAGCTGTGGGGCACTGGTTAGTTTGGGGTGCTTGAGCATGAGGGCAGCTGGGGACTCTGAGGGGCAGGGCACTGTGGGGTGTATTACAGAGCCCCAGCACACGAGACACCACAGAATACGTGGGATGTGCATGTGTGGGGCAGTGCATGGTGTGCTACAGCATCTGTGGGGCACTGGGGCTGTGCCACGAGGAGCAAGCCAGCCACTCAGCCATCCCCATGCAACAATTGGATAAAAGCACTGGAAGGTACAGAGGAGAAATCCAGATGCAGACTGTGTCCCTCCCTTGTTCTTCAGCACATTGTACCCACTGGGATGTGCTTCACCTCCTGCTCAGTACATTCAGGGCAGCCACATGGGAGCCACAGCCACAGCAGGGCACAGGATCAGTGGGGTCACTCACAAGGAGCCGTCCCTGGCTGCATCCCAGAGCACTGATGCAGCCTGTCCTCCCTGGGCCAGGTGCTCTCTGTCCCCAGCCAGCATTGCCTGGCTGGGTCACTGCAAGCCCCCAGCCACCCCTGCCCAGCTGGGCATGGGGCAGAGAGAGGCTGCTGCGGGGGCAGGAGTGACTCTGCTCAAGGGCAGCTGCACATGCTGGCTGTGGGAGCTGCTCAGCGCTCGCCCAGGGCCTCCTGCATAGGCTAATTTAATAAGGGCCCCTCTAGCTCCCAGCTCAGCTTGTTCCCTGCACTAGCAAAACAGATCATGTTTCTCAGTGCCACTGGGCACAGCGCAGAAGCCCAGGGGCACGGTGGGAGCACAAGGGCACCCAAGTGCTCCCTGCCAAGCCCAGAGCATGGGGCTGCACCCTGTGCACAGCTGGGGGAGCAGAGCAGGCTGAAGGGCAGCCAGAAGAGAGGTGAGGCAGGGGCTGCCCAGAACCCTGGGGCTGATGCCCTGTCTGTGGCAATACACAGCTGTACCCATCGATGTTAGGAATCTAACATCAATGAATCTCTGGGCTGGCTGACCAAGGCAGCACAGCTGTGTGTGGTCCACCTGGCTGGCACCATGGGCTGGGCCCTGGTCACACCCTGAAGGACCTCTAGCTGCTCTCCCCTTCTCCCCAGCCCAGCTGGGGGGCTGAACCGGCACTCCAGGGGGCTGGACGTCTGGGGGCTGGGCCCTACAGGAGCAGATGGAGCTGGTGCCGGCCCCTGTTTGTCTTTCTTCCAGTTGCCTGGTGCTCTGTTTGTTCTAGGGATGGCTTCCTGCTGTCAGGGCCAAAACAGGTGGCTTTTATTTGCAGGGTCTGGCTGATTAGATCAGGGGTGGTGTGTCATTGCCCCCACACAGCCCCATTGCTTCCTTTTTCCTCCACTTTCTCCCCCAGCCTCATTTCTGTGGGAAATCATTCTCCTCGATAATCACCCTCCTTCTCTCTCCAGTCACCTGTTCTTCAGGGCTGCTCTGAACATGGCCACACCAGGACTGGTCAATCCCAGCCAAAACCCCTTCTTCCACCTGCTGGATCCTGAATCCCAGAGCCAAGAGGGTTGCTGGGGTCCCCAGTGCCACTTGTCCCCTCCAGAGGCTTTGCTGGCCACATGAGCCATAGATGTACAGCACATATCTGCCACAGGAGCCTCCCGACAGGCACTGCCCCGCACAGGGAGCCCTGGCACTTGCCAGCTGCCCCACAGGCACGTGTCCCCTGCGCACGCCGCCGTGCCACCCCTGCAGCCAGGAGCCCCTGGGACAGCAGGAGCCTGGCAGATGTTGCAGGGATTAGCTCCCACGCAGGTGCACACGCACAGTGTGGGCTGCCAGCTGTTCCGTGCCCCTGGCACCACCCCAGGCACGCTGCTCACCCCTGCTTATGGGGCTGTGGCTGCCCACCCTGCCTGTGGCACCCACAGCTCTGGGGCTGCACCTGCAGCAGCCCCCCAAGACAAGGATGCTCCCAGGGACACAGGTTCACCCCGTGCCACCCATTCACCACCCGAGCCTGGCTGTCCCGACATGGGGGTGTGCTCAGTCCCCACGAGCTGCCAGGGGAGCTGTGGCCTCACCTGCCTGCTCCCCACTGTTCCCATGGGGACTAATCCCACCTGAAGGTCAGGGAGGCTCCGCCAGCTGCTTACCTCCTGCCTGTGGATTACAGCCTGGGTGTGAGCAGCTGGCAAAGGCTGAGCCCAGCCCTGCTGGGAACTGACAGCAGCACAGAACCAGAAGGGAGCCCAGGGTGGCATGTCCCTTTCAGCCCGAGATGTCCCCTCTGTCACATCTTAGCCAGTCAGAGATGCCAGGCACTGGGGCAGGGAAGGCAGTGTCTGCTCCTCTGCTCCAGATCCTGACCTGGAAGGGAGCCTGCTGCTGCCAGCCACTGTGACCTCCTGCTTGTTACCACAGGTGCCTCAGCCTGGCACCTGCAGGGCACCCATATCTTCAGTGTCCTGGAGGAGCTTGCTGGTCCTCACAGAGTGCCCAGTGCAGACCAGCTCCAGGGCTGCAGTGATGGGGACAGGGGAGCGCATCCCAGCCCACACCCAGCCTGGCCTGGTCACAGCTGCTGATGCATGTCCTTCAGTGCACTGCGTCATTGTGGAGGGACACCAGGGGTGAGCACAGCTGCCCAGATGCCAGCTTTCCTATAGCAAATAGGGTGCTGTCATAGAGGTGCAGAGTGCAAGGTTAAGGCTGGCAGCCCCTGGCAGCCTCAGAGCCAGGGATACCAGCTCAGCTGGCGCCTGGCCAAGGTCCCGCTCCTCCCCAGGGCTCCTGCACTGCCCTGCTGGCCCCATCTGCAGCGGCAGGCACCCCAAGCTGGGTGATGCTCACTCGGGAGGCAGATGGAGAGGTTGGGTCCCCTCCTCCAGCAGCCCTGAGGATCAGCACAGGCGGGGGCTGAGCCAGGCACGGCCACAGGAACAGAACATCCTGCCTCAGCTGCCTCAGGGCTCCTGCAGCCAGCAATAGCTGGGCCAGGAGCAGCAGCCCTGGCAGCCTGCTCAGTGTCCATCCCTGGGCAGGCTGCCCACGCACTTCCCAGAGCCATGGCTGGGAAGAGAGGAGCCCCAGCACTCACCCCTTCCCTGGAGGCACTGTGGGAGGATGGGGCTGATGTGCTCCAAGATGCAGGACAAGTATGAGCTCTGGGGTTTACCCTCCCAGCATCTCAAATCCTTCATCAGGGCTCTCCCTTATTCCCTTCTCTAATGGGGGTTCAAAAACATTTTTTGGGCAATTTTAAAACATGTCCCCTCACCCAGAGGTGTGTGGGTGCAGGGGAGAGGATGCCAGGCTGTACATATGCTGTCCCTGATACTTCCCATGGCCAGGAATGGGCTGGAGTGTGCAATTCCTGAAGTTTCACCACAGCAGAATGCAGATCCATGCCTGGGACCCACCTCTCCCATCCACCCTGTCTGACAGAGGGGGAAAAGCTTGTCCCAGAACCCAGGCAGACTGAAAACTGCCTCTGCTTATTGTCTTCAGCTGGGGGTGGTGTGGGGGGTGGATTCATTGCCTGGTGACAGTATCTGAAGCCTGGCAAGGGGAGTGCAGGACCCCAGCACAGAGTGAGGACAGTCCCTATGCTCCCTCCCAGGCCTGCCCATGCCAGGAGCAGGCTGGAGCAGCACCCTGGCCTCCAACATTAGCTCATCCCCAGTGTCACAGGCAGCCTGTCTCCTTGTGCAAACTGTCTGGGCACCCACAGAGGTGCTGGGACAGACTCTGAGGGGCAGGGAGCTCCTGCTCTGCCTGGGCACCTCCTTCAGGCACAGCAGAACTGGGCCAAACAGGCTGAGTGGGGTCAGATGAGGGCTAGGGATGCTCACACCACCCTGGTTCTCGGCCCCTGAGGAGCCCACACAGCCCTGGGGGCTGGTCCCTGCTGCGGCCCTGGTGTGCTGAGGGCAACCAGCTGCTTCTCCCACATCCTGAAGTGAAACAGGGCCTGCCCCAGGATGGCACACCCCATCCGGGCTGGGCAGGACATGGGCAGCCCAGAGGCTGCCAGCAGCAGTGCACACCTCTGCTCCCACCCACACCTTCAGCTGCACACACCAGGAAACAGAGCAGCAAGCACACAGGGCATGGCCAGCACTGTTCAGCTCAGCAGAACACACACACAGGCACACACAGGACAGGGATGCACCAGCTGTGCACACACCTATGCAAATACACAGGCATGCATGCACATACACACCTGGGTGAAACTACACCTATGTGCAAATCCAAACCTGGGCAGTTGCAGCTCCCCAGTGCTCCTCCTGCACCCTGCCCTCTCCATGCAAATCCTCCTGGTGAGGAACTGTGCCACGGAAATCCCCAGCCCAGGTCCCCAGTTCCCCAAAGCCGTGCCACTGGCCATGCAGAGCCTTGGGTTTGGGGAACAACCACCCAGCACAGGCAGCAATACCCTGCAGTGCCCCATGCCATGCCAGCCTTGGTACCGGTGGTGCCAGCACTGGCTCTGACATTAAAATGGGTTTTTAATGCCTCTGGCTCTGCCTGCTGTGAGCAGCAGCTCACCCCTGGGTGCCGATCCTGCCAGAGTCATTCCCCAGGTAACACAGCCTCAGGGCAGTGTGGCTGCTGGGGCCATCCCACCTCAGAAGGCTTTCACAGTTTCCCAGTGCCCCTGGGCTGGCAGAGCTGGGGCAGTGACAGCAGTGACAGGGAAGGTGGCAGGGGGACACATAACCCAGGGCACAAGACAGCCCAGAGGGCTGGAGCAGGCAGCGAAGGCAGAGGCGGCACAGCCGCGTTTCAGAGCCTTGCTCTGCCAGATAGCATCTCCCAGGCTCTGCCCCCACAGGGACACACGTGCAGCCACTGCAGCACATGGACACAGGGTCTGGCTTTGCTCAGAGTTATTAATCATGTTCTGTTTGATCCCAGCCTGAGCAGGGCAGCTGCAGAGGGTTGTGCATATCGGGGGATGTGTTGTGCTTTCTTGGTTTTTCAACTTTGCCAGGATTGGTAGCAGGGGACAAGGAGCCTGGAGACACAGCCCCAGGGGCCCATGACCACAATGACGGCCAATCAGTGCATGGTCCTGGGGCTGTTCCCAGGCTGGGATGGAGCCTTAGCTCTGGAGGGATGCAGGAAGCGCGGTAACCCTGGAGATGCTCTTTGATTTTGGCCCCTACCTACACCACCTGATGGAAACTCCTAAAGCATCTGCCCAAAGAGGAAGCCTAGGAGGTGCCTCATTTCTGCCCCTTGCAGGGGCACCCCAAGGAGGCACCAGGACTCTCCTGCTCTGGGACCAGGGCTGCTGAGCTTTGTCCTGTGCATAGCTGCATGGGAGTGAGGGAAAGCAGCAAGAACCATCCTATCCCTTTGAACAGAGCTCCTCCGAGCCCCTGAGTGAACAGAGCACTCCTGAGCTCCTTCACTCCAACCTCTCCTCTGTCCACACTGGGTGGATGGGCTGAGCTTTTTTAGTGTTTGCAGAGAGGCTGCAGATGGGCTCAGGATCCACCTGTAAACTCAGCACATCCCTGAGCATGGCAGGACTAGAACTGGATCCTGTGCTACAGAAGTGCCTGTGCCTGAGGGCAGGGCAGAAGCAGCTCAGGGCTAGCAGAGAAATCACAGGCAGAGCCAGGCATAGACAGTAGGGAGGTGAAGGATCTTTCCATTCCCAAAAAATATCCTGAGGTGGGAGAAAAGCAGGTTTACTGCTGTTCCACCTCCTAGCTCTCCATGACTCCCTGCAGCCTCCATGGTGCTAGGAGCAGCTCCAGGCTCTGAATGTCTTCTCTGGCTGCTGGGGGAGAGGGATGGGACAGGACATGGAATGGGACAGGAGTCCAGGTCAGGTACTTGTGCTTGGAGAGCAGGGCAGGCATTGAGCAGGGCTGTCCTCGAAGAGACAAACCAGCTTGCCAGTACCACCTCCCTTATCCTTCCACAGCAGGCAGAGGCAGAGGGATTGTCACCAGCAGGATCTGGCACCTGGCCCGCAGGCTTCAGGTGCACAACAGGAAACACCTGCCCTGGACAGTCAGACAGACCTGGAAGGGCTGGGAATTGCAGGTCCTGCAGGTGAATCAAGGCAGGGGGAGGCGAGGAAGGATGTGACACCCCTCATCCTCTGCCCTGCTCCTGCTGCCTGCTCCTGCCCTCCCTCCTGCTGCTTCACCGTCAGCAGCTAAAGCTCCCTGGGTGCCAGCAGACCATTGAGACCTACCTGGGTGCTTGGCAGAGCCTGCCAAGCTCCACCCTGGGCCAGCACCGTGCCAGGGCTCTGTGTGCCTGCCATGGCTCTGCAGTGCTGCCAGGGCCAGGCTGCCCTTCCCCAGCAGGCTGCTACAGGCAGCACTAAGCCACACAGGCAGGATGTGTGTGCCTAGCATCTGACATGTGCCTGCCATGCCGTGGGCACATGGACACGGGTCCTGCACGTTACAGCCTACAAAGCTGAGTGCCAGAAAGGCTGTGTGTACCACTGTCACCGGGTCCTACAGTGCCATGTGGCAGTCCCATGGCGTTCCTGCATGCTATGTGTGGATTGCTTCATCTGTGTGCACTGGCTGCTCACTGCTGCATGTGTTTGGGTGAGACTGTGTGCTGTGCCTGTCCCCGGTGCCCTTTGCTCCGCACACAGGCCGGGTGTCCGTGTGGCACACACGCCAGGTGTCCGTGTGGCACACAACCTGTGCGTCCGTGTGGCACACACTGGGTGTCCATGTGGCACATACGCTGGGTGTCCGTGTGGCACACAACCTGTGCGTCCGTGTGGCACACGCTGGGTGTCCGTGTGTCCCGCAGCAGCTGCAGGCAGGCGGGTGCTCCCTCCGCGCTGCAGCGGCTGCGGCGGGGCCGGGTGAGCGCCTGCGGCCGTGCGCCTGCAGATGGGCTGGACCTGCCTAACGCGAGCCGAACGAACAAAACGTTCAGGTCAGGTATTGCACGTGGGGCTCGACGCCAGGCAAGTGCAGAGATGCTCCGAGTTGGGACAGTGTGGGCTGGAGGGGTGCTCTGCCCTGGGCTCCGGCAGCCCCTTCCTCCCGAGCCGGATCCGTCCGGGCTGGGTGTTCTTTGCTGCGCATGCCGCTCCAAACCGGCTCCTCCGGGGGTAAAGTCTGGAAAGGGGATGCTTGACACCTGCTGCCTGGGAAAGCCAAACAGAGCAGGGGCAAGTTAACTGGCATGGCAGGGTGGAGAACAGGGAAGAAAGGAAGAAAGTAATTGGAGGAGGGGAGGGGAACAGAAAGGATTGGAATACACAGGTGAGAGAGGAGTTAAGGAAAGGGGACAGGCTGGACGGTGTCCCCCGAGCCCGTTCCCTCCCCGGGAGTTCGGGTGTGTGACCGGACTCCCAGTCCTTGTCTCGGGAAAGCCCCCAGGATGTTCTCCGTGCCCAGTGCCCTGTTCCCAGGCAGGCAGGCAGGATCCTGGCCAAGGTGTGCTGGGCTCTAGCAGCTCACCTGGCTCCGGTGACACGCTGGCAGCTGTCAGGTGAGTGGCTTCGCCTTCCCCCGCCGGCTCACAGGCAGAAAATGAGGGTGACGCTGGCTGGATGGGGCTTTTATAGTCCCGATAAAAATAGCGCTGGCTGGCCGGTGATCGGGGGGCCGGAGAGATGTGACTGAGCAGAGACAGGCAGGAGGGCTGGGCTGGCGGCAGCGAGCCTTCTCCCCAGCACACCTGTCACAGCTCTGTGTTTGCTCAGAGCAAATATTGACCCAGGGAAGGCAGGCTGGGCAAGGGAGGCGATTAGCCCACCTAGATTAGAGGCAGAGCAGGTCTCTATGCAAACTCTCCAGGGCTGCCTTTGTTAATGGGAGCCTGATGGGCTGATAGGAGCCAGGAGCCTGGGTGCTGGGGTGGTGGGGAGGAGGAGGTGGGGGGGAGAGGAGGAGACATTCATTAACCTGCACTGGAACAACACCAGCTGTCACTTTTCCACCCACCTGCCTGGCTCACTTTGCAGCAGAGATGAGAGGAGAGCAGGGGGCCAGGGGAAGAAGCTGTGAGGACACGCTACCTGGGCAGCTCTAGGATAGCAGTGACTTTCTTGCAGTATTTTGGGCTGCTGAAAAGGCAGGGAATTGTGAAGTCTCAGGGCAGAAAATCAAATCTAGTGCCTACCCCCAGCAGTCTGAGTGCCAGTGATAGAAAAGTCTTCCTTGTTCTTATCCCAGTCCCCCCACTCATGCTGAAAATGTCCATGGCACACCAGCGCAATGCTCACACGTCTTTTAGAGCAATGCACAGACTTCTGAGCTAGGCAGCAAAGCACAGCTCAACAAAACTTTGGGAGCACTCTCTTTGGGAATGTTCCCTGCATGGCCACACAGGCCAGGAGCCAGCTGTCCTAGCGCAGCAGCTGGAACAGGATGTGTTTCACTCCATGTGCACATGCTTCCCCGTGGGTCACTGCATCCCAGAGTCACAGCACCCTCGTGTCCCAGCTGTGTCACTGCCCAGCAGGTTAACCAGAGCCTGTGCTGGCTCTGGGAGCAGAGCTCATGGAAGCCAGCAGAAGTTTGGACACTCCTCCAGTGCCCAGCTCCAGGGCTCAGTGCTGGCAGCCCTGTGCTGATCTCAGCCAGAGCCAGCAGGAGCTGGGCTCTCTCTCCCAGTTACTCTGGCACCCACAACTCCTCGGATAACAGAGCATGAAGTGCAGCAGCAGTGGCAGGAGAAGCTCCTTTGTGCAAGTGCAGTGGCCTGTTTGTTTGTGTAGATGGGTGTGTTTGTGGGTGGGGAGGGGGTAACGCTGCTTTAACCCCCACGGCGTACACCTGCAGGAGTTTGTCCTGGGTGTGCTTTAGAAACCATCACCATTTCTCCCTCCAGAGCTGGAGTGTACTTGCAGGCTGCAGTAAATGCATTCCCAAATATAAGAGCATAGTGGCAGATCCTTAGCAGCCACTGCCACCCAATTCTTCTTCCTTGGAACCTTGACCCTCTCACACTCCGGATTTTGAAAGGCAGGCTCCAGCCCTCCTGCCTGCCGCTGCCTCTGCAGCCTGGGGTCTCCCAGGCCTGGCTGGAGTGATGCCAGCCTGCTGGCCTTGCTCATCCTGGCCCTTTTTCAATAGTTTTGGCAGCATAGGAAATGCAATACCACCAATGCTCTGGGTTGTAGTGCCATGAAGAAGTGTGATGTTCCCCCTCCTTTTGGTGCTGTACAGGCGGTGATGTTGGACTTACATATTTCTCCTTTCCTGGTATGGGAAGTGTGCTGGACAGGACTGCCACCCCTCCCTGCCCTGCCACACACCAGCATAGCAGAGCTGCAGCTCCTGGCATAGGCTGCCCCCTCTTTCTGGAGAAGCAAAAACCCCAAATACCACAGGTGCTGCTGCAGTGCCAGCAGACATCTCCAAGCCTGCATGCTGTGTCAGAAATGCTCTTTCACCCCAGCCTGCTCCTGCAAGAAAGCATCTCTCCCACTAAATAGCAGCAAATACTGTCCTTGCAGGGCTGCTTTACAGAAAACATGAGTAAAGCAGGTCCCTTGAGCTTGCAGAGTACCCTGCACTGCACTGCTACCCTGGGGAATTTCGTGCTTCTGTTCTGGCATCTCTGGGGCAGCATTTACCAGTTTGTGCCCTTCCCTGTCAGGCAGGTGGGCAGCACCAGGACTGAGCTCTTAGTAGGGCTGGCCTTGGAAAGGCGGCCTCAGCCTCCTCTTGCAGCAGCCCAGGGCTTGTGCTGCTCCACTGTCCCATGAGGACTGACTGGCTCACAGCAGAGCACCTCTTGTGTCCATCAGGAGCCAGCATGGGGCCCTGTCCTGGCCGGAGCATGGCTCCCAATCCCAAACACCAGGTGACACAGCTGAGCCAGCAGAGCCCAGTACTTTAGAGACAGGAGGCCAGGGGTGAAGGGTCTGTCCAGCTTTGCCAAGGGTTTTGGAAGGATCACCCTCACACTTTTGTTCTTCAGACACTGCAGGACTTTTCCAGGCTCCCACCTCATACACTCTACAGAGGGAGAAGGGGATGATTCCAACCAGGGAATGGCTGATTCTTTGTCCCCTAACACTGCTGCCTTCCTCACACTGACACAGAGACCCACCAAGTGGGGCTTTGCAGGAGATTCAGGCTCCCCAGCTGCAATGGGACAGCAGACACCCTGTCAGGGAAGCCCAAGAGCAGCTTTGTTCCCTTCCCTTTATCTCCCAAACAATGGCACGATTCAGCAGGTGTTAAATGTTTTAATGGGATTCAGGATAGCTTCTGTTGCCCACCTGCCCCAAGGCCATTCCAGCCCTCCCTGGGAGCCAGCAGTAGCAGGCAAGAAGAAAGCTCCTGTTGTGTGGTGCATTAACTGCCTGTTGACTGAGTGCTCCCGATAATCCCCACAAGGAGAGGGGGAGCCCCATTAACTTGCCAAGCTCGTGCTCAGGCGTGCTGGCTGTGTACCTGCAGGGAGCCTGGTCTGGCTACCGACCCCATTCCCGTGGGAACATCACCCACTTCACTGCCCAAACACCAGAGCAGAAGCAGGACCTGTACCTACAGTATTTCTGTTGGAGAGATGTACATTAGAAACGTAGCTCTGTTGGGCAGGGGCCAAATCCAGCCCTGGGAAGACAGTACAACAAGCTCAAACTTCCTTCTGCCTGAGCCCCAAATGCCATTAGCAGAAACAGGACTTCTCCTCTCTTTTGGGTGCTGAGCTGGGCTGTGAGTCTATAGTCCCACAAGTTCATAGCCCTTGGCAGTGGCTACCAACAAAACCTCTTGCTAGAAGAAAGTGCCTCCCTGCCAGCTCTGCACATTCTCTGCCCTCCCCTCACCTCTCATTGCCCCAAAATCCAAGTGAGAGAGAAGCCCCTGGGTAAGAACATCCACACTGTGCAGAGCTCACCCCAGCACTATCTGGGAGTGCTGCTGTTTCTCTTTGCTAACAGGACAGTGATGTGGCTCAGTCACACGTTGAAATGTTTCCCAAAACCAGGGTCAGGGTCTAGTTCCCAGCCTGAGAAGAGGAATTGGGAATTTCCCCAAATTCCCAATTGGGAATTTCCCCAAATTCCCAAAAGAGGCTGCCTCGGTGTATTTATATTTTACAATGAGGATAAAAGAAGAAAAGTGTGTGACAGCTGCTACTCCCTTTGCTTAGTGCACTCAGAGTGGTTCTGTTGACAGGCACCAGAGAAGACCTACAACAGAGGGGACACATGACCATCTCACAGCCCCTAAAAAAGAGCAGAGAAAAGAAAAAATTCTCTCTCACAGGTGTAAATAGCTCTCAAATCTGTTTCCCTGACTCACCTGTTGTTTAAGGCATCATCTTTGAGATCTCTCCTACTAGAGTGATGCTGATCAAACAAGTGAATTTCCCTCTAATAGTGCTCCAACAGGACAGTGTGACTTCTGTTTTCTCCAGGTCGAGGCTGGGAGCACAGGAAAGTGGGGAGAACAGGAGCTTTAAAGGCATAAAAAAATTCCTGCACATTTGATGGTTCTGTCAATTTTGTTTTTTGGGTGTTACACCAGACTAACACACAGCATTTCCCATGTCAGCTCCTCCAGGCAGTGGATGCAATGGTGCAGCTGCAGTGGTGCAGCCTAAAGAGCATTAGATCACACAGCAGGTCTGAGGATGGACAAACTGACTGACTCTGTCTTCATTGCTCCATGCTGCCCTTGGGTAGCTGGATTCGACCTGCTTTAGGGCAACAGTGAGGTTTCTGCCCCTGCTTTTGCAGGGAACTTTGCTGCAGGACAACGGAGCATCTGCAGTGAGCAAATCCTAGCGAGGAGCCTGGATCAAGGAGAATCAGTCCAAGTGGACTGAGCAGCCAGGCCCTGCTGCAGCCTTGAGCTGTTGTGGTGGTTTGACCAGGAAGGAGTGGGAATTCTGGGATGCTGTGGTCAAACCAATGGATGTTCTGAGTTTCATACTGACACCTGGTGTAGCCAGTGAAGTTGGAGCCTGTTTTGCTTATTCCTGGTCACATCTCACAGCAGACACCAGGGTGAGGGCATTTTCATGGGGGGCACTGGCTCTGTGCCAGGCTCAAACCATGACAGCTGTGGAGGAAGGAATTGGTTCTGCATTACCTGTTCAGCACTAGCCAAAGCCCAGAGGAATACAGAAAGACTGCTGTGATGTAGGATACCTGTCATGCAAAGTATTGGGAAGGGAGGAGAGGGTTTGCACTTCTCATGAGAAGGATCCAGGACCCATGTGAAGGCCCAAAGCACTCAGGCTGAGTTCAGGAGCTGGCAGTGCCTCTGCTGTATCTCTGACAACAGGAACAGCTCAGCCCTGGGGCTTAGTAATGGTTACACATGCAGGGCTCCTGCACAGAGAGGAGTGCTGGGGTGAAGCTGGCTGAGCCACAGTGCCCCAGGCACAGCAGGCAACTGCCCTCTGGTGAGCGCGGCAAAAGCCTTCCACAGTGCCTTTTGCACAGTCTTCTCTTAGGATGTGAGGGAAGAAGATGCAGCTCTGGTCTTGGCTGGGTGCTGGCACTGGGAAACAAGACATGAGGGTTTGGAGAGAGACACCAAAGCTGCAGCCTCACCAGAGCTGGGTGGCTGCATGAGCCCCATGTTGCAGAGTCCAGAGTGGTATGGCAGAACAGGGGATATGCTGCAAATGCAGCCCACTGCCTGGCACAGCCATCCTGCAGCTCCTGCCTGGGAGCAGCAGCTGTAATCCAGCACCAGCCCGCTCTGTGCCGGCCACCAGGATTTCTCACAACTCACGCTGCCACCTCCCGGCTGTGACAAACATGCTCCTTCACTGTGACACGTCTTGCAGCCCGACAGACTCCCCAGGCCAAGCCAAGGCTCAGAGGATCCCCTTCCCTAGGTGACAGCCTTGCAGTTTGGAAAGGGAAGACCTTGTCCAGAGCTCACAAATCCAGACGCATGAATTACATATGTTACACACGGTGTCAGTGTCTGAAGGTCAAGTTGCTTTTATTGGGTTGCTGTGTGTACTGACTGTGCTGCAGCTGCCCCCTCAGAGCCAGGAGGGGAGGAGAATTCAGTACCTGCATCCTGCTGAAGCCATAACCTCATTGCCCAGATGTCAGTCCTTCCTCAGCTACATTCCAAAGCAGATTCCACTCCTCTCAGCTGGTGCAGACTGAGGATAGTGGGAATTGTCATAGTGGTCGTCCATGTACTCCCTGTAGCACAGGGTTCTTCTCCGATGATGTGGCCAGCCACAGAAAGGAGATATCTCATGAACTCTGCCATGGAGTTGTCAGAGGATGCAAATCGGTGCTGAGAACATAATCAGGACATACCTCCCCAGAGACAGCCAGCATGCTGAGCTAAGATGATGGTATGGGAGGGTCCGAGTTGCTCTGGACATCACAGGGATGAAGAATGGAGAGAGCTGATGTGCTTGAGGAGCTTAAGCAGCACAGTACCCAGCAGCTACACTCTGGAGGGTGGGGATGCAGGGATGGTGATTCTGGAAAAGAGATGGCAGCTCTGGAGATGACATCTACATCCAACAACCCTCTTCCATTAACCCTCACTTCCATCTCTCTGCACTTCTGTCCAAGCTAGGGCAAACCCTTATGCTTTTCACTCAGGTCCAAATCTAATTTCCCCACCAGTGGCCATTCCCTCAACCTAACTAGATCCCACACCCCCTTGAACTATGACAGCTTTGCTCCCTTTCTGCTGTCAGAGGCTGTGCTGCCTGCTCCTTGACCCCTTTTCCCAAAGGACCATCCTTGTGCTAGGCTCTCCAGTGCCTCAGGCCAGCCATCCATGCACAGGACCCTGCTCCAGAGCTGTATGAGGGTCTCAGGTCCACAGACAGGCTGTACTGTTACCACCTCTGCTCTGTGGCACAGGACAAGCCAAGAGGGGGCAGAGACTTTGGGAGTGGATTCTTTGTTTTGCACAGGCAGCCTTGGCACTGATAGGCAGGGATTCAGCTAACCCACATGGTCTAGAAAACGGGCTGTGCTTCAGCCTGACATGTTAAGGAGCACAGATACACTCTGCTACCTTTGGGAGGCACTGGGGGGTAAAGCAATGACCCTGGGCTGGGCTGTGAGCACCACCTCCCCACGACTGGCTTCGATCATGATGTTCTGCAGTGTGTTTTCCAGCAGCAGCTCCACGAGGTTCCCAACAGCTGGCTGCCTAGAAGGACATAAGCACAGCAGAGGACAGCTATCAGAAAGCAGATAAGGCAGGTTGCTTGCTGTGACTCCTGCCAGGAATCATCAGGCACAACAGTGGAGCACACACTGTTTTCCTACACGCTGAGACCAATGAACCAAAGACTTGAACAATGGGCTGCTGACCCTTGTCCCAGAACTGTCACCAGCTGGTGTCAGGCCCTGACCTTAGACAAAGCTTGGTGACTACAGTTTTACTGGTTTCGCCCTCCAAGCTGTGCTGTAGCTGCTATTAGTGAATAATGCTTGAAGCTTGTAGCAGTGTACAAAGGAGCAGCCACAGCAAACAAAAGGTGGTGAAATACTGCCGTGAAAATAAAAGGTAAGGTAAGCACATACTGCACCCCAATGTCTAATATGGCTTAGAGTGCCTGAGAGTAGACATCATTCACTACCAGCCTCCTGGCACTGCCCACAGCTCAACCCCAGACACAACAAACCATCTCTCCCCACAGCCACATTTGGGAGAGGGTGGCTAGGTGGGCTAGCATTGATTTCCACCCAGACAACACATAATACACCCGCAGAAATGCTGCAGGGCTGGAGAAGAAATGGATTTCTGGCCAGGCAGTGTGCTGCCATGGCTCTCTTGACTGTGCAGCTCTTGGCTTTTACGTGTGAGCTCTTCCTCACCTACTTATTATCTCCTTTACCCTCAACTGCTTATGGTGAAAAGTCTCGCTAGACTCCGGCAAATCACTGGGAGAGGCTTCCTGCCTCATTTTTCTCCCCTCTCCATCCTTCTCATGGTCAAGAGCTGTGGAAACAGAGACCCTGGAGGGGATCGTGGAGCCCTGTCTACTGTCCTGGAGTTCTGCTGATTTTGCAGAGTGGAACTGGGTGAAATATGGAATAGGCTCATCTTCGATTTTTCTCACTGACTTCTGGAAGTGGCCATTCTCCAAGAGGCTTCTAGGAAGAGGAAAATAAAGGATAAGTTTCAGCAAATTGACTATCTGCATGACCCAGAGGATTATTACAAGACACCACAAGGCAGAGGAAATCACTGGCTGATGTCAGTGCTTAGTCTGTACCTTCTTGCTTTCTGGGCCTAAGGGAAGCAGCATAAGGGCTTGAGCCAGTGAAACTACCTCTGTTTCCCATGTGCTGGTTCTTTGAACAGCTCACAAATCAAATAGGTGTACCCCAATGCAGCCTGTTTCTAAGATCACAGTAGGTGGAGTTCCTTGGTTCCTGGGAACTCTGGAAAGATGGGCTCAGCCCCTGGCTGGGGAGGAAGCCCCTGCCTTGGCTGTCACTCCAAGATCTGAGCTTATAGTCCCCAAGACAGCTTTTAGCAGGGGGATACCCCATTCTGGCAACAAGAGTGCACAGATTCCTTCAGGGTTAACAGAGGGTTGACCATGCTGCAGTCATTCTCTGGAAGACAGGGGCTCCAGACCAGGTGAGGGTGAAGGAGCACACACCTGATGACACCTGCGAGTATGTCAGTCACCACCTCCAGCTCTTTTTTAGAAGCAGCAGCCAGGGCCAGCCGTTCGCGCTCCGTGTCTGTCCTATTTCTGTGCCCACTCCCATCCACCAATTTGCTGTCTGAGGGCTTGGCGCTGTAAGGGCTGAGAAAGGAGGAGTTGTTCCATCAGTGGCAGCACTACAGAACCAAATTCTCAAAGACCAGCACCCTGCTAGCACTGCAGCAGCAGGTCAGGCAAGCAGTGCAGGCAAGCAAGGGAGGGGTGGGAGCTGTTGTATTTCTGACAGGAGCAGGGATGCTGTCATGAAAGAGGAACACTGAGCTCTGACAGTTGAGGTGGGGAGAGAAACAGGTCATGTCAGCTAATGCTGGGGAAAGCAAGACACCTCTTACTTAATACTGAGGCACAGAGGAGCAGAGCAGAGCACCAAGTTCAGTGCATATCAGAGCATGGGGCAGCCCTGGCTCAGATGAAGCAGCCAATCCAAAAAACTCTATCTCTTACCGGGACAAGAAGTATCTGGGAAAATCCAAGGCAAAGTTGCTGAGAAAGTCCTCAATAGCAAAGGACCTGGCTGACACATCAAGGTGTAAGGACAAGGGCGTGGGAGGCTCTGGTTTGACCCACACCTGGCTGGCATCTTTGTCCAATGGCAGCCTCCTCTCAGTGTATCCAGGTGGCTGACTGGGTGGAGGCTGGCTTTTAATAGGGGGTAATGTCTGTTGGAGAGAAAGAAATGGCAGGCATATCATTGGTCCTTTGGCCACAAGTAGGCTGGTCTAGGTTTGAGCACGGGCATGAGAGCTGAAAGCCCAGCAAGCAGAGCCACCAGATCCTGGGTGTCAAAATGATCTTAGCACCGCAGTACTGATAACAGGCAGGAGCAGCCGTAATGGAAGTCAGGTCTGTTCCCTTCTCACTGACCAGCGTGCCAGCCCCAAATGTCAACAGGGTTTCAGGGTCTCTCTAAGGAACTTGGGGCTGTTGTTCTCCAATCCACCACTGTGGAAGCTCTTGTAAGCACACTGGCAGTGCTGCAGGAGAAGCAAAGTACATGGATGGAATCCGTGGGGAAACTGTCCTCCCCCAGACCTGAAGGGAAACCAGGAACTGACCCCAGTCACACTACATGGGCCAACTTGGGGTTGCATTAACAGCAGTCAGATTGGGGGAAGCTCCTTAGAGCACTAGCCAGGATGCCTGGGCCAGAAGAACACCACAGAGATCTGGAGAAGTCCTCAGGCATCACAGGACTTCAATGATCATTGAGACA